AAACAGTAGCTGCTCAGTCCAAGAATCTGGAAGTCTCAGAAGAGGAGGGATGCAGCAGAATCCAAGGCTGGAGAGTCACTGGTGAGAGTCCACAATCAAAGGCTGAAGCGTCTGGAGTTAGCAGACAATGGCAGCAACCAGAAGACACACTGCCCAAGAAGAGCTGAGCACGTGTGTGCCTGAAGGCTGCTCTCCTGTGCACATTTGGCTCCTTTTGGGGTCCCAGCCTATTGGATACTGCCACTCACATTCAGGGAAGATCTTTCCCCTCTGCGACATACCAGAAGTGGGCTTCACCTACTTTCCAGGAGTTTCTCAATCCAGTCCCTTGACAATCAAGATTAACCATCATAAATGTTCATAGATTGGAAGACATATTACTGTTAAGATGTCAATTCTAGTCAAATTGGTCTAAAGAGCTAACATATTTTTCAATTAAAGTCCTGGCAGAGAACTAGTAGAAGTATACAAGCTGACATACAAATTTATAAAGCAAAGTGAATGAATAGCTGAAACAAACTTGGAAAACAAAATCACCATCAGAAGCTTGATGGTACTTAAGGCAATATGGTATTAGCAAAGGGATGGCCATCGTGACCAAAGGAAGAGAAGAGAGAGTCCATAAATATACTTACACATATAAGGTTAATTGATTCTCAAACAGGTTCCAAGATAGCTTAGTGGAAAATAAACAAACCAACAAACATAAAAACCTAGAATTGTAATGAAATGGTGTTGGTACATACAATCAAAATAATGTAAACCTCAGACCATATCCATATCACATACAAACATTACCTCAAGATGGATGGCAGAAAGAAAAGCCTAATGATATGTTAGGAGCCAGGAATGAATTCTGGCTTGTCTAAGCCATCTCTCTCTCTTTTTAAATTTTTTTTTTATTTATGTGGTGCTGTGGATCAAACCCAGAGCCTCATGTATGCAAGGCAAGCACTCTACCACTGAGCTACAACCCCAGCCCCTAAATGGAGGGGGATAAAACAAGGATAAAAACAGATTTAGTCTTGATTTAGGCAGAGGTTAAACTTTCTTTTCAAAATAGTAGAACTAAAATGAAAAGTCAAGAAATACTTTAAGAAAATATTCGCATATCACCCAAAAAGTGTGTTCAAAATATAAAAAAGTACTCTCACAAGTCAATAATAAAAAAGAAAAACAATTTTAAAAAGGAACAAAATTCTTGAATATGAGCCATGGATGATAATCACATCGGTTGTCTTAGGCCAATGAAAATTAAAGCACAAGATATCACTAAATACTCAGAAGAAATAAAAACATAAAAATAAAAAGAATTCTGACAATATTAGGTGCTGGTGAAAATGTTGGTAAGCAGGAGGTCTCCTGTCCCCCTGGTTGGAATGCCAACTGGTGCAGGCTCCTAGGAGAATGATCGGATAGTTAATCAATTATTTGCCACACAATTTATAATTCAACTCCTAGGTAGCTACCTAAGTGGAATGATAACTTTCCAAAAAAAAAAAACCTTGTACAGGAACATTTATAGCCACTTTGTTCATAATCGCCAACCAATAGAAGCAAAAGGGAGTCTGCCCTTCAACCACTGGCTCATCCTCCAGTGGAATACCACTCAACAGTAAAAAGAAACACTATCAAAACACAACAATGGGAATGGATGTTACATATATTGCATTGAGTGAAATAAATAGGCACAAAAGGCAAAATCCAGGGGAAAATGTAAGCTCAGTCATCAACAGCCTGAGAGGTGGGGGAGGACTGTGATGAAAGGGCATGAGGGAATTTGGGGGGATGACAAAGCTCATTAACTGGGATGGTGTTTACATGAATGTATTTGTTGGTCAAAATTCACAGAGTCAAATGCTACAGAGGGTGAAGTGATACCTTTGCAATCCTGAATTCTAAACACAGGATTGTACTCCAAGGCAGTGGGCAGGGACTCAACAACTAAGCAGGGCTAAGGTGACCAGCTGCTATGCTGGACTGCAGGACCCACTCCTTGGCAACCCCGTCCTGTCATCTACTCGTCAGGAGATACCAGCCAGGCCTGCCTGGGGAGCTCCTGCAGGAAGCTGGGGTGATGCCTAAAACCTGGTGCCCCACTCACTGTGATATTTACTTTCTTTTGGGCAAAGAATCTGACATTCAATGTCATCCTCCTATCAAAATAGAATATCTGAAAAGGAGAAGCGAGCCTCTGTTTTCAATAATAACAAGGAATGACAAAAACGTTAAAAAAGAATTGAGTGTATACTTCAAGGGTAGTCTCAACAGTAGTACAAGCATCAGTTTCTTAGGGTGGGACCACAGGGAGTTCTTGGGCCTTCCCATCCTGCAGGACTCTCTGGATCCTGCTGAAACACCCACTACCCAGTGCTGACTTCAGGAAGAGAAACTTCCTCCTTACTTTGTATGTTTTGAAAAGTCAATAGTTTAGACCAAAATATTAACAATAGCTGTTTCTGGAGGATGACATTTCATACTACTTCATTTTTGCTTACCCGTGCTTTCTGTTTTTTTCCTAGAATGAACATATATCACATTTCTAATAAGTAAAACAAAAATGAAAATAGAAAAAAAAATAGATTTGGGATAAATATGTTTTCTGTCCCAGTTTACATAACCACCCAAACATAATACACTCTTCTGTTCTTTACTGGTCATGTTTCATCAATTGACATGAAATGATCAAGTTTAAATTAAAATAATTAGGTAAAATAAAATTTAGCATGCAGATAGCTAAGCATTTTCATAATCAGAGGCAATTCTCCTAATGAAAATAGTACAATGGAAAGCAGCGCAGATGGCTTACCTGATGGTGATAAATCCTTTTGTTTTAAAGTTGTGATTGCACCAAGTCACACCAATGAAAGCCCAGTGTAGGCTCAGTACTGATGCAGGACACTGGGAGCCACCTCATGATTCAGCTGCCTTCTGTCCTAACCTTCAAAAGGCATTGTCCTGACACCCAAAACATCAACCATCAGTATCCATAAGCTCTGTTCTGTTTTTAACCGAGAAAACATGCGCTCTCATAGTACACTGATAAGAAGCTACATCGTCTACTTGGGGGGGCAGGGTCCTTAGCCTCCACATATGGTAAAGACTGCTTAAATCCTGAGTGTGCACTTCAACCTTTAGGAAGAGGGAATGAAGGAGAGCTTTAAACAATCATGAACATGCATGTTGTGACTGTCAGATCTACCACAAATACCACAAATAATCACAAAAATAGAAAAACCTGCAACGCACTTTAAAACAAAAGAACTGGGTAAGATTTGATAATATACTTCACAACCGAAGAAATAGGGATGGCAAATAAGCACAGGCAAAATCCTAAATGCGATTTTTCATTAGGGAAAAAATAAATACTAAGCATGAAATGTCATTAAATGTCAAACTGAATATCAAAATATTCTGATAGTATCAATGCCGGCAGTATATTTAGTTCTGCAGCTCATCTGAAAAGAACTTTTGAATATGGTATAAATTAGGAGTGAAGATACATTTAAAAAACGAAAGCATTATAAATTATTGAAATTATCACATTTTCCCCTCTGAACTGCAAAGTCACTGTCATCATGAATTATCTAAGGCAAGTGTGTATTTTTGGATTCTAGTGACTTTCTGACAATCAGTTAGTCTGTCTTTGTGCCAAACCTGCACAATAGGCATCAGTATGGATAGGGTCTGGGTCTCATGGCTGCTGCTAGACATAATATTTTCTGTAAGTATTTTGGATTATTTTTCATCTCTCAATGAACTTTTAGAATTTTGATGGAGTTTGTTTGAATTTACAGATTAGTTAAGGGGCAAAGTTATATTTTGAAAATCTTTGAATATGTTGCTTTTTCCATTAAGTTGTCTTTTTCATTTCATTAGTATTTAGTGATTTTTCAACTTTGCACATCTTTTGCTAGATTGGTGCCTACATGTTTGATTTTTATGAGTTCTAGGTGACATGTTATTATTTTTAAATTTTTTTCATAGAAATATGAGTAATTTTTGAGTATTGACCTTGCATTTAGAAACACTACTAAATTTATTTGATATTACTAAATATTACTCTGTAGGAATTTTAAATTTTTCTATATAGGCAATCGTAGCATGAATAGACAATGAAATTTTGTTTCTTTTTTGATCTTTATTGTCCCTAATTTCTTGCCTTTCTGTACTGGTCAGGGCCTCTACTACATTGATAGAGAAAAATGGTAAGGCGAGAATCCTTTCATTCCATAACTATCAAATGAGTGTGAAATTGCAGCAGCCCGGCCGGCTGGGCAAAATAACCAGGGGGTGACGAGCAACTTGTGTACATTGATACAGCAGGAGTGGGAGCCGTTTATTGTAGGACTGGAGAGGTATATATACATTCCACACAGCTTATCTTAATTAACATAAACTAGATACAGCAATCAACCAATAAGGAATCTCCACGCTTAATGGCTTGCAGGCGTTACTTCACAAACCACTCCCTCTGCAAAATGCCAGGCACCATCTTGACTTGTTTACAGACTCTAACATGAAATAAATGTTTGTAAATGAAAGAATTCCCTTTGTCAGTATGCTAAACTTAGAATTTTTCAAAAGATGTGAAAAAGCTAAAAATTAAAGTGATTTAAATTAAGTTCTTAAACATTCATCGTTTACTTTCACTTAGCCTATTACCTATTGAGGACATAATTACGCATGCATATAATAATAATTATAGCTGATATAAAACTGAGTTTATTACTAAAATATTAGATAAATGTATAATATTTTTTTTCTTTTTTTTTTATTGTTGGTCGTTCAAAACATTACACAGTTCTTGATACATCATCTTTCACAGTTTGATTCAAGTGGGTTATGAACTCCCAACTTTACCCCGTATACAGATTGCTGTTTCACATCAGTTACCCTTCCATTGATTGACATATTGCCTTTCTAGTGTCTGATGTATTCTGCTGTCTGTCCTATTCTCTACTATCCCCCCTCCCCTCCCCTCCCCTTTTCTCATCCCTGTTTAATGTAAATCTTCAGGTAAGGACGAAGAGCTTGAGAAGAAGATTTACATTAAATGTATAATATTTTTGAAGCAGAATTACAACAAATGAAATGTATATATCCCTTCTCAAATAGTCTACATTCAAATTACTGACATTACTGGTTGGAGTCTGTTAGCAAGCACAATTACATCTAGTTGCACCACAAATGCAGAATGTCATTTATACAAAATAGAAGAGAGTCATTCTGAAACCTAAGTTGTGTCATGTGCAGGAACTAAAAGAAAGCCTGATGAGTCGTTGTGCCCTATTTAACTGATTGAAGAGAGGACTCTCCAACATCTGCAGACAGAAAAAAAAGTCAATCTATGTAACATGATGCTTTAACTTATTTCACATAAAAAGAATAAACTTAAATCTCAAAGCACAATATGTAGAAAAAAAGTTGCATTGTTCCAAGAAGTACTACTAGCTACCTTGACATCAAGAGAATTAAAACAAAGATGATACACTGGTATAATAACTCTTAGATCACTTCTAGTTGGCTTCAGAGGCTTTATCTCTACATAGTCAAATTCAGAAATATCTCCCTTTCCCAAGCCAAGAACTGGCTTAATGTTCATAAATATTTTATGTAAGCACTTTATATATTCTCTGCAATGTTCTGTAAGTCACAGGATAAAGGCCTCAAAATGTTAGTATAAAGATGTTCTCCTAATGTATTCCAGCATTATTAAATTTCAATTTGATGAAGAGCTACATACAGGGGAGAGAACAGAATAATGATGTGCAAATCACAAAAATTGAATCTGACCATTTGGTATCAAATTGTCAAGTATGTCCTAAAGAATGCACACTCAGGGTAAAATCACAGTGTTTGTTATTTTGGCTTTTTTTTTTTTTTAATAAATTCTTCTTTTCCACTCACAATCTATTATCTCCCAGTTCCTTAGGGCAGCAGCCCAATGCAGGTTGGTCCAGTGTTAAGCCTGGGGTCAGCACGTTTGTGTTCCTTTGAGGACTTTGAAGAGAGTCTGCTTACAGGCTCATTCGGTTTGTCCTCACAACTATCATTTGTAGTTGTAGGACTGAAGTCCCCAGTTCCTAGTTGTCACCTGGGGCCATTCCAGGCTTCTCCGGGCTGCCCACATTCCTTGGTCCATGGCCACCTACACCCATTAACAAAGCCAGAGTGGGTGGATTGTGTGCCTCTTATACTCACATTGTTCCTGCTCCAACTTTTCTCTCTGACCCACTTTCTTCCTTTCTTTTCCACTTTTGGGGACTCGTGTGACTAGACTGAGCTCACAGGGCTGCTCACAGATTATCAACTCAGTTGTGATGTATTCTGATTGCCTGTGCTCTCAGGTAAAACTGGAGGAGTGAAGATGAAGACAGCAACCAGAGGAGCATTCCAAATGGGTCTTGAGACACAAGTACTTCTACCTGCATGCTCAGTAGAGAAGACCCTCTGGGGAACAGAGGGAAGAAGAGGGGCACAGAACCATCTCAGGACCAGTAAATAAGTGCCAGGCAGAGAAGCTGAAGGAAACAGAAGAAGACGGTCAGGGAGATAGAAACACCAAGCAAAGGCAGGCCAATGGATAAGGAGGGACACGGCTGCGCTTTGAATGATGACCAACCTAGGGTACCATTGAAAGGGAAAATACACGCTAAAATTATACAACTTTATTTGACCAATTCAAAATGATGATAAATATTGTTAGCTTGTTTTATATACTCAAAACAGGATTATGTTATCAAAAATTAGTACAAGATACTACACAAATTCTGTCCTCCTGTACTCTGAGTATCAACCTAGAACCTTGGGTCAGAGTGATTTGGGAATCATGACAGCTTACCTTAACTATTAGTGTATGATTGATAGAAAGGAAGAAAAGGTAAAAAATATCTAACTGAGTCTGACTATCTAGATACTCTTAGTCCCAGAAAAATCATCTATAAAACCATATGTATAGTTATATATTCAGTTATATATAATATATAGTTATATATATATGTTATATATAGTTATAAATGTGTGTGTATGTGTTGTGTACATTTGTTGTAAGTCTTGAGAGAGTACACATATGCTTTGACAAATGCCTGGAATGGCTTTCTTCAGAGATAACTGATGAGGCATTAGTTGCTAAGTACTTAGAGGGAAATTAGTGCTTCCTACGTCAGAGCAGTACAGTTTTATCAGATGACTACCTGGAAGAGATAAGCCCACCTGGGAGATTCATAAGCTGTCTCATAAAATAAACACATCCCCTAAGTGTACTACATTGAGAAAGAACACCTATCACATTAGCATCTTAAATAGTCTCAGGGGTTGGGAAAGTTTGCGAATTTTTCATCTCTTCACCCCAGAAAGGGAATATCACTTAGTCTCTGTGTCCCAAAATGACATAGTTAGTCCCTGTACAGTAAGAAGATTCCTTATCACTGACTCTAAAATGTACTAATTCCTCCTCCCACACAGAAAACGTAATGCGTGTAACTGTTGTCTTCCTGGGTGCATTTGAACTGTTTCACCAAGCTTGAGAACTCAAGTGTGAGGAAATGTGTGAGCCAGGAAAACAGAAAAATCATCTGTGAATAAAATGTGCACTTGCATGAGAGAGAAGAACAAGAGTTAAGTGACAGAAGACACGGAGACCCATGAAAATGGCAGAGGACAGTCATAATGATAGGTGGGAAAATATCCAGTAAAACCCGAACAGCATGTTGAAAAGGACAAATTATTTGGAAAGAAAAGCACTGGAAACAGCAAGAAATACATCAGAATTGAACGGGCTGTATTAATTACATGTATTTTATTTTGAGTTTATGCCATGAATACACAAATTTTTCCTGATGCATTAATCTATTTGATTTAGATTTTATTTATTTAGCTTGCTGTGCAAAAATATGATTCATCATTGCCAACCTTTAGTAGTGAAATTCTAGGGTCTGCCTTGTTCCATTTTGAATAACATTTATTTACACGTGTAAGATTTCATTATAATTACCTGAAATACATTAAAATTGCAATTTTCATCCATAATCTCAAGAAAAAAAATAGTTATAAGATTTGACCACAGATTTAGGTAGTTTAAAAAAAAGAAAAAAGACAATCTCAATTCCAAACAGCAGAAATAATTTTTCTCTTATTTGTTTGCACAAGAAAATAAAGCAGAAAATTAACTAATTAAAAAGTGAAAACAAAGTAAAATTTACGTCTAATTGGAAATTAAAGTGAAACTATTCAGAAATAATTTTAAAAATCTCCATCAGCAGCTCTATGACAGAAAACTAAATCCTAAACCATAGACCATCCAGAAAATAATGAAAACTAACACTGTGTATAACAAACTAGAATATAGCTAAAAGTGGGTTGAAAAAGACATAGTTTAAGCATTCATACTAGAAAATAATAAATAATTATGTGAAATTGTTTAGAATCTACTTCAAAATCAGAGTAAAACAAAATAACTCAGGAAATTGAAACAAGTTCCTTGGAAAAATAAGACTCACAGTTAACATAAACATACATACAAACACACAGACACGTACATATAGATAGGCTAATAGAGCAGAACATGGAGACAGGAATAGAAGTGAAGAATAATCATTTAAATATTGCATTTTTCTCTCATTAGTACTTTAGAATTTTGCAATTATCCAAGAAATTAATTTTTTATTTTTATTTTTTAAAATATTTTTTGAGTTGTAGATGGAACACAATACCTTTATTTTATTTATTTTATTTTTATGTGGTGCTGAGGATCGAACCCAGTGCCTCACACATGCTAGACAAGCACTCTACCACTGAGCCACAACCCCAGGCCCAAGAAATTGATTTTTAAAGAAAAAATATAATATAAAAATATCCCGTGTAGGCCACCATTTTATCTTTGTTAAAATATTATGTTTGCTGTAAGTTACAGTTTTGCAACAGGAAAAACCATGTTCCTAAATAAATGAGCTTTGGGTTTCTTCCTAAGCTGAGAAGACTGAACATTCAGAAACAACTTCACTGTAGGTTTCACATAGACTGTATGTGAATATTTTTCTCCAGTATTTACCATTTGTGAAGCGTACCTTGCAATGTAGAGATTTCTAAATCTCTTTTATGGCAGACACAAATCAAGATTAGTGCAAGAAGTTGCTGACAGAGTCATATATTCATTCTAATCATTTATTATAAGAACTCAAAATTAATTTCAATTAATCTTTTCCTTTAATTATCAAGAATATATCTTAGTAAAAGTGTATTTATATTTTATATAGTTTATAAGCTTTTGTATATATTTAAACATATGTATTTGAAAACCCACCTTTTTCTTCATACTTGAATATTGCAAATAATGACCATATAAATTTGACCTGAAATTAAATGATATGTCAACTAGACACAGCTGTTTTTGAATGAGAAAATATAATAACACAAATTTTTATGACTTATTTTGAAGCATTTAAAAGGTAATTTTAAATGTTCTAAAATGAGAATTCCATTAAAATATATACAAGGAATTGGGTTTAAATTAAATCTAGTAAAAATGGCTATCAACAACTATTCACTGTTAATTCTCTTATTTTGCTATAAAATATTTATAGAAGTTGTCCTAAAATATTATTTTAATATATAATCTAAAAATTTGCAAATGCATTCTATATTAAATATTATAAAATGAGTGACAGAGTCATACTCATCAATCAGTATTAGAGAAGTATTGCTAGTGAGCAGAAGTTGGGAACTAAGGTCTCCCTCTTTTATTTATTCTCATTCTGAAAATGTTTCTACTAGAATGTCATTTTCCATGACTAACTTTCATGCCTGCTACAAAAGGCTGATCTTATGATTTCAAATAAATTTGCAATATTGGTTTTAAAGGGTCATTATAAACCTGCTGAAGAAATTTATCTATTTTAATACAGACGTTTTGAAATTTCCTTCAACTTAAAATATGAGATGAAATTCACTCTTTCAGTTGAAAATAAATAATTTGTCTATTTAGCTATCAATGTAATAATCACTTTTCCTTCTTTATTCAGAGATAATCAATTACAACTATTACATTATTTCAGTCAATTCCTGGTTTCATTTAACAATTTTTTTTAATGTGTCAAAGTGTTCCTAGCTAAAAATAAATAAATAAATAAAAATAAAAAAACAACACTAAATTTCCTTTCTTCCAGGTATGCAAGTATGAATGGTGGGAAATCAAACAAATTTTCTGGTTTAGGGAAAGTTTTAAATGTGGTATTCATTATTACCAAGCACTTTCATATAGAACCATAAGCCTGATACAAACATAGTTTCTATTTTGCATTTGTTCTGGGAATATGTTTTCCTTCTTAAGGACAGTCTTATCTGGTGCTAGTAAAAATTCAAAAGGATTCTGAGGCTTATTCTTTGATTATTATCTCCTTGTATCTCAGTAGTGCTGAGTGGCACTTTCTTTTTGATCAGAGCTCCATTTAGAATGCACTGTCTCTGTGAGGTGATCCTGGGAGTGGGCCGGAGGAGGAAGGGCCGGCTGGAAAGCGGGTTGCTGGAGGGTCAGCTGCCGTCTGGTCAGATTGCCTGCAGGTGCATTTCCTCCAAATGTCCTGAGATAATTTAATTTATTAGGGCTACTTCTGCATCTCCCCTTAGAGCAACATTCTAACAGCAGCCTCCAGCATTACACCATCATACTTTAATGTTTCTAGACACGTCTGTTCATGTGTCATTCTTTGAAAGTGTCTGGTCTGTTCTATGCATGAGCCTTCTAAACTCAATATCGAATCCAGTAGCTTTCAGACCTGTTTCAATCCTCTTTTGGATTTGGTTGAAGGGCCTCTGGATTGCTGTTGGAAAAGAGAAAGAAAACTGATATCCTCATTGTCCCCTTCTTTAATCATATTAGCATATCTGGGGTTCCATCTGTTATGTAAAATTTTACTTTTCAAGGTTCTGTTAAACTATATATTCTCAAATTTTGATAAGGTTTTGCCTATTTAAAAAATCAGTTTGATTAAAGTCATGTAAGTCATGTAAATATGTTAGTAAATGATACTGTGTTCTTGAAAGACGCTATTAAACCACTTTACATTTGCTAAATAGTCTCTGGATGTAGTATTCTAATCCATATTATTCCAGCAAAGGGAAATTTAATCAACTCAGCGCTGAGTCACTGATAAACCAATGTTAACTGTGAATTCACACACTTTAGGAAAAGCTTATCGTTTTGCCAATAATATAAAAGGTCAGCCAGGCATGGTGGCCCATGCCTATAATATTAGCAGCTCTGGGCATATGGCTTGGTGGTCAATGCCCCTGAGTTCAATCCCCAGTACCCACCCAACCCGCCCCCCCCCAAAAAAATATATATATATCTATATTTTTTATTATATATATATACATACATATATCTATATATATATATATCATATCTATATTTTATAAAAGATCAGTCACAAAAGTCTTAGAAATTCGCTAAGAAAAAACATTTTTGTTTTATGCTTATATTTATATTATTTCTTACTTTATATACTTTCCAAATAAATATCTCTGACACTAAAAACATATATTAGTTTTTCCTTTATATTTTAGCACAAAATTAACTAACGTAAATATCTACATGTCTTAAATTTAGAAATATATGTACTTGAAGATAGAAATTTTCATTTTAGTTTCATATAATATTCTTTGAAATGTACTTGTGTCAATTATTTCATTCATTTGTGTATTTATTTATTTAGTTTTACAATGTAGAATATCTGTTTTTTAATGCTTAAAGTGATCACAACCGAACTATAACAATTTATCTTGCTCATTAGATAAGCAATATAAAATACTGGCATATAGATAGAAATACAAGCACAAGAAAATCATTTAATTTGACAAGAGGCTGATAGGTAGTAAAAATATGAGTTGCAAGACTTTAGACTTTCAGAGGGATATTTTATGCTTACCTATTATGATTCTCTTCCCTATCCAGTGTGCTCCGGCATCTGGAAATGTTATTCTGTCACAGACAGAAACTGGTCATTCCCAGGAGTCTGAAATTGCCGCGGACCCTGCTGTTGTTCCTCATTAGTATTTGAAGGACAGGGTCACATATGAGAGCATGTGGGGGTTCTGCTTCACCTTGTAGGTACAGCCCTGAAGGAGCACTATTAAACATCAGTGTATTGATTATCAGAAACACAACAGTCTGGTGACAGCGGAGTCTGCTTGGACCTGGCAGGGTGGGTGGAGACAGGCTCTTTCTCTGGGTAAATATTGCTCTCATTTAAACATAGCCGCAGGCTCTTGAGCTTTGAATCCCTGCACAACGAATTCTAAACATAATGAGGAATAGTGGAAAAGGGAGTTATTGAACTCAGCATGATCAAGTCAGAAGCACCTCAGAGTAGACTTGCTTTAAGTTATATGAAGGCGTAGGGGACTGTGAACTTCCTCAACAATATAAAATTTTATAATGGATGAGTTACTGATTGAATATATTAGATAATTTCCCACATCAAATAAACATGTGAATAAAAATGTTTGGGGCCTGTGATATGTAGGCATATTGCATAGGTATATTAAATGAAAAGTGTATAATATGAATTTATATAAAATAATTGTCTGTGACAGAAAATTGCTGTTTTCAAAGTACTCTTGAATATTCATGTTGTGTATTGATAATGCATACTTTGAAAATTCAAATTTTTCCTTCCTTGAAATTATTCAGGCATTTCATTTTCTCCAAATAGGAATACTAGTTCATAATTTATTCCATAGTGTAAGTGTGAGTGACAGCTGAGAAGTCAGAGAGTCTCTTCCTCACAAACAGCATCCTGGGTGCTCCCGACCTTCTCCCAGCTGAATCTGGAATCTCGCAGAGTAACCCTTTCCAGAGGTCTTCCCGTGGGTGCACACCTTCCCCTACCGTGCTCCCCCCTCACCTTGACTTCAAAGTGGAGTATGTGGCTTCCTTGTTTTAGGTCGATTCTTCTAGAACATTCTCCCTCTCTCCTTAAAATCCCTCAGCTTCAACTTTGCTGAGGCGATCCCTTCTTGAAGTTGCACATCACAGATGCAGGCTGACTCCTCCTTAGTTTATGAAATCTTACCTGTTGTTCACTGTGTGCTCTTCTAACCCAAAATTTCAATTCTTGATTATGTCCCTAGACATCTGTGTGATCTTTCCAAACCCTGTTATCTATGTTATTTGGACTTTGTCATTTCCATGATTATAACTTCTACTTTGTTGCTACCAAAAATGTCAAAACATTTATAATCCCAACTACCAATATCTTTCTCAATAGCCTTTACACAGGAAAATAGGAGATTTGAATACTTCACAAACTCAAAGTGTAAGGGTCTGGCGAAACGTCGGAGTAAGAGACCACAAGAGACTGTCTTATGCAAAAGCAGAAGGGTGGGTTTATTTGGAGACCAGCATGCTGGGGCTCCCTCTATAGCAAAGAGAGATAGAGCCTTGAGAACAGCTTGAGCAGAGCTTATATACTTTCCCTGGAGAGGGCAGGGACAGAAGTTACATTTTGTAGTTTGGCAGTTGGGGACAGCTCTTTCTGGGAACAAGATTAGCAAACAGTCCATAGTTGGGGACAGCACATTCTGGGAACAAGATTAGCAAACAGTTCTTAAGATTTCAACAGTGTTTTGTTAAGCATATAGAGAAACACAGTGACAAGTACTTATTTTATTAACCTTTCAAAAGTCAAAATCACACAGTTATTGGGACTCCTGTTTCTCTTTTCCTTTCTGTACCCTGGTTTGAAAGCATCTCTCAAAGTTCATGTGTTAGAAACATCATCCCCAAACTCGTATGCTAATAGTGTTTGGAGGTGGAGCCTTTGGAAGACAATCAGTGCCATGTGGGGTCTTGGGAGTGGAGTCCCTGTGACAGCACTGATTACTGCAGAAGACAAAGAAGAGAACCTGGAGCCAGCATAGTTGCTCTATCTTGCCTGGGATGCCCTCCCCTGTATTATGACATAACAAGAAGGAATCTATGAACATCAAGCAGATGAGGTGCCATGCTCTTAGAATTCCTGGGAGCCAGTACTGTGAACTGATCAAACTTCTCTACTTGGTGAAATTTTCAATCTGTGGCACTCAGTAATAGCAACTGAAAACGAACTCCAGGAATAAGTTGTAACTCTTGTTAAAATTAACCCCTTCAGAAATGGACACATATCATGCAGTCAAAGATAATTTCTAGCCAATATCTTCCCTCTCCCCTTCCTTTTTAACATATTTTTACCTTGAGGCCACAAACATCATTTATTCCTCCCCAAATAATGAAAATCTCAATCTCCACTTTTTATAGCAACCATATTAGTGTTTGAATTTACAGAAAATCTTCTCAGAGTTATTTTTATCCATTTTTCCCCAAATTATCTTTTATTTATCCAAAAGCACCAGTGGCCTCCATCTATTGGAAACCACTGATCCATCCTCATTCTTCTCTTGTCATAGACTATGACATAGTTCCTCACATTTTTCTGTCCTTAACAATTTTTATCCTGAGCCTGACATGGTGGCACATATCTTTAATCACAGCATCTCTGTAAGCCAAGACAGGAGGATTGCAAGTTCAAAGCCAGCCTCACCCACGTAGCAAGGTCCTAAGAAACTTAGCAAGACCCTTTCTCAAAAACAAAACAAAACATATAAAGGGATTTATCTCTGACCCTCAGAATGGAATTCCAATTCTTACTCTGCATTTCCACTTGGAGGTCGGGGAGATATCTCAAACCTAACCTAGGCCATCTCTTGGGGAGTCTCCAAAGTTGGCATCTTTGAAAGATCCACTGTCATTCTGGAAGTAGCATGAATGGAGCAATGCGAGGTGTTTTAGGAATAAAGATTATGGCTCCTTAATCTCATCATTTTAAATTTGCTCTCACATCCTCAACTATGGCATGAATCCTTCAGTCCCAAGAGGTTTCTCTTTTATGGCATCTGAAGAATAATTCTTCAAACTAATAAAGCCAGGAGACAAGTCAGGCCCTGGAGTTGGGAATAAGTTAGGGTAGGATATGGGACTTTCACTGTCCCAGATGACTCACCTCTTGTCTTCCTTATTGGAGTCATATCTCTTTACCTTTTTTTTTCCCCAGAGGAAATAGTTGGCATCAATGCCTGTGACTTGCTTTGAATTTCCTGCCATGTAATTATACTTGGCATTTGGTTTTCTATTCTTTCTTTTGTGTTTAATACTCAGCTTTACATGGTAAAATGATTTAATATATTTTAGGTAATGTAATTGCATAATGTCACTCCATGCTTCTTTAAAAACAATTAAAATGTTATTGCTAAAAGGGAATTTGGAAAGAATCATCACATGACATCATGTGACTTTTAGTTAAGGTGGGTTGTATATCCCAAGAGCCATGTGTAATTATTGGGGAAATGAGACAATTATATGGAAAGAAGTTGGGTAAATATTTTTTGCTAAACTATTTGAAGGACAAAATAAAAGTGTATTTTTGTAGACTAATTGATTTTGTTGTTAATGATTTATGTTAATTTTCATAAAAAACTTGTCTAATTTAGTGAACTGGAAAAGGTGAAATTCAAACTCAGTGTCTAACACTGTTCATAAAACTGTGTCTTCTTTTTGTTTGAAAACATTATGATTTTAAATGTAGAATACATTTTGTGCTAAACTTTGGATGTAGGTGTCTGTTAAATGAGCATTCTATAACACTATTATTGGATCTTTTATGGGTGAATTGATTGACTGACTTATTAATTTGTATCTATTAATTTATGATTAAATATTTCTTATTTTGAGTTAGAGCTAATACACATATTACAATTACAATTGAATATTAAGTGACAAAATAACTTCCAATCTATTAAACATGTAAATTTAATGTATGCTATATAACAAAGACGTATGGACACAATCTATCTTGTTAGACACATCAATGCACTATTGACCAAAACAGTCTGTCATCTCCGAGCTTCTAACCTAACTTGATGGACAAGATGTTAAACAAATAAATAATGTGCCTAAATAATCTCTGTGTTCAGAGGTTGTGTTGCAGACATATGGTGTGTTATGAAGTATAAACAGGAGAAATTGCCTTTTTTGAGGTTAGTGATGTTTCCCGGAGAAAGTTAGTGTGGGCTGAGTCTGAAAAAAGGTTGTTGAAAACAGAGAAGGGAATGGCCCATGTGTGAGGAAGAAGAGATGAGTGGTAAATGTGATGACAGAAAGAACACAGGCAGACACATTTCGTAACCACTGAGGGCTACAGGCACAAGAGCCTTTCCAGAGATACCGCCATTCCCCTGGCCATATTTTGTGCCCTGCGTGAAGGAGTCAGGGGTTGCCGTGTGTGTGTGTGTGTGTGTGTGTGTGCACCATGCATGTGTGTTTCTGATTTTTAATTGCACTGAGCTTCATCTCATTTTGGAAAGATTCACTGAGCCCAGCCTTCTACAGATGGAATAGTTTGAGTTCCCACATCACTGCCATAATTATGCATTCTTCTGAAACCTGCCATAACTCAGAAAAAAAAAAAAATTAGCACAATCCTGGTGCAAAAGTTTATCACTCCAACACAGTGGGGGTGTTGAGAACTTGAATTTCCTTACCAAGATGCACTATGAGACAACTGAATTTTGAATCCTCTCTTACCTAATATACTGAAACTAATTTCCACATAATATGAATTACAAATAAACTTAACCAGTGACAGGCTGAAACATGATAAATTTGTATGCAGTAAAATTTCTCTTAGATCTTCAGAATAGATCAATTCACTTATGTTTTATTGTTCATGTGCAATAGTCTATTCAGTAACACAGTCCCAATATATTCATATCCTACCCCATGGTCCTGACAGTGTGGTACTGAAGTTATCAGCACCCGAATCAGCTAGTAACTTATTAGCAATGTAAATCCTTCTGAATCCAAAACTCTAGGCCTCAGCATTCTGGGTACTCTGAAAGCTTTCTGTGATTCCAATGCATAGAACAGGTTGGCAGCCACTACCTTCTCCAAATATCTCAGCCTGGCTCCAGAGCTACGATGGTCTCTCCTCTTTCTCCTTCCTAAGATGCTTCCAAACATATCTCAGGAAACTTCACGAATGGTTAAGGAACAGTTTTGTACTAGGTTTCTAAGTTGAAATATTTTCAAATAATGGTCCCTTGCTAAAGTTTCTATATTCTATTTGTAATTCATTTGTCTAAACAGAGACTGTTTCCAGACAAGAATAGTATAAAAAGAATGGTATTCTTCCCAAATGAGATCACCAAAGTGATTTTCAGCTTCAGCAAAGGAACACTATTTGAAAAGTACATGCTGATTCATCATAATTATATATATTCATTAATATATATAATTATATATATATTATGTATAATATAATACATATATAATTATAATAATACATATATTTTACATATATGTATTATTTTGAAACAGGGTCTCACTAAATCACTGAGGCTGGCCTCAAATGTATAATCCCCCTGACTTAGCTTCCAGAGTAGCTGGGATTACATGCATGCACCAACTGGCTCAGCGCATTAGTACATTTCTTATACTTAAATTTCATTCGAACTTTGGCCATGTAGACAACAAAGGAAGAAAGTGAGAAGAAAGTAATGTATAGAAAAAAGATGGATGAAGTTTGTAGACAATTTTTATGAGTGAAATGTTGGTAAAATTTATCATAAGATTGGGGTAAAAGAAACTGAGGAATGGCAGATCCTCTGAAAATGAAGAAAAGAGGCGAGGAATTCATCACTCAGGCAGTGTCCTCACCACACACTGGGAGATGTTTGAAGGTCAGCTGGTGGTGAGGGTCCAGCAGGGAGAGAAGAGGAAGGAGCCCTTGGCTTGGTTGCACTGAGTACTTTTAATCCCGGTGATCTTAACTCTGACTGTTTAGTAGACAAATCATAGGATAAGCATTTTTCTATGCTAAGAAGTTGTGTTCATTCCTCTAAGTTGACTGTACTTCATTTGGGCTTGTAGATAAACTACATTATACCTCTTTTTGGCAGTTAATAAGCTGAAGGATCAGATGACTTGTAACAGTGAGGAAACTTTAACTAAGTGCAAATTATGCATGAATTATCATCCTGAATTGCTTACTTTGCTTTTAGGGATAAAAATTACTCTTTAGAAAGGCAAGAGCTAATGGGTTTTGCTGTGGTGGTTGTTTTTATCTCCATATACTGACAATGCCTGCTATTGTTATAATGATTTTTAAAATTCCATAATGCTATAATTATTAACCTCAATGTAACCAGGCTTAAACTAAATTATTATAGACTTCAATCACATTCACCACTTAGTAACACTAATTATTGAGCATTTTCT